AAAAAAGGGGGGGGGGGGGGGGCAATGGGGCTGTAACATATTACACAGCACCAGGATAATTTCAGAGTCAACAGACTCCTTGCGGGAGAGCTACATGAGTGTTTTTCTCTCTTAAACCACAATGCAGGCCATGCAGCAGTTTCTTTTGGGTCTGCTCCGCATATTGGCTTCCACCCCAACATAAACCTGTCCCCTCACACTGCTGAGTAATTACTCATGCAGGTCAATCCTACAGGAAAGATGGCCCAGTTGTCAGAAGACTAGCATGGGACCAAGGGGACCCCAGGAAAGTCACTTAGCCTCAGTTTACTATGAGTAAAATGGGGATAAGGTCCCAGGAGCTGCAGGAAGCGTGTGGCTTATAACTTAACATCTTTAGACATGTACAGTTGACAAAGCAGGCCTCACCCTTGCAGACAGGCTTGGAGCCATTCCAGGTCCGGTCTTTTGTGCAGGTCAGAGAGGATGCTCTGTCTGACTCCATCATGTAGCCAGGGGTGCACTGAAATACTACCGTTTTATTGTAGGTGAAGTCATTTCCTAGCCTAATGCCGTTGGCTGGCACACCCGGGTCACCACAGTTTATCACTGGGAAAGGAGAAGACACAGTCGTTACATTTCTGGTGCACACCACGTGGATGATACAACGGGCACATATTTTAAGATTGCGCCTTCTAACTCAAGACGTTTTCCTAACCTAGTTGTGGACTCAGGCAGCACCTTTCACTTGCAGATTAAAGGAGCTAAATGTACTCCATATATATGATGTACATCGCTGGCTTCTGAACTACGGCCTCATCAGTGCCTGCATGCCAAAGGGCAGGACTATCACATGTAAAGGCAGCCAAGAGAGAGTGGCCCCAGGATTCAGGACGGCTCACATCTGCTCATGAAGTTTATGATTGGAGACTGGGAAGACAAAGCAGAAGCCAGCGCATTCACTGCAGGAGGTGCTCAGGAGCCTCAAAGAGTTTGTGTGAAGAACGGTTTCGACTGGTGCTAGTTAATTTAATGGTCTTTCCCCTGTGCTTGTTGACACATCCAGTTCCCTAACTAGGTGTTTAGCATGCGCTCCTGGACAGCCTAGCCTGGGAGCCTCCCATTTATTATTCATCTCATCTTCCATGAACCCCGCTCCAGGCACCTACCTGTACACTCTGGAGTGGTCCCAGTCCAGGTCCCATTGACAGTACAGTGCCTGCTCAGCACCCCTGTAGAATAATACCCTTCCCGACACTGATATATAATGGAGCTGGAGAAAACCAAGCCATCATTAAACATGACTCTCGCGTTGCTGGGAGTTCCTGGGTTTCCACAAGATACAACTAAAAAAGCCAAAAGAGCCAAGTTAAAAAAAAGAAAAATGAACATCGCCCCAGTCTCAACAGAAGCAAACTGAGCTGCAGATACCTCTGGATTAATCAATGGAGCTCAAGATGTGTTGAGTCAAGTCCGCTTATTTTGCAGTACAAGAAAAAACATCTCAAGAACAATGGCCTCAATCGCTATGGCAAATGGCCGGGCAGGACCTCTTCCACATGCAGTGACTGGAAATCTGCATGAGGGATTCAGTGCCCTTGAAACCCTCTTACCTACAAAACACTTACCACATTGGCCTCAACCTGGGATTCAAAAAGGTACCCCAACCCCAAGAGCCAACATCCTTGTTATTAGTCTTATAGAGGGGAAGCCGGGACAGGCTTTCTGTCTCTTGATGCTGACCACTGCAGGCACAAGCTGTGCTAAGGTATGCAAACCCGATCTGAAATGTAGACACGCTGTGGACAAAATGGGGAGAACAGGGGCAGCTGGTAGCCAGAAGAGCCCAGGCAGTTCAGGGTCAACAGATTATTGCAATCTTTCACTGCTGATCTGAATCCAGCCCAGATGGGGGCCAGCCAATGCCAGGTGACATCTTTTCAGGGATCTATGGCCTGTGCAAAATGAGGTGCCACATCTGGAACTGGCTGGGCAGCAATTGGGTCAGCCGCTGCTGACAATAACCATCACAATATCACAATAATCTCAAAGAGAGGCCCAACTGGGCCATGAGTCATCCCATTTTTCACGGCATAGTCGTTAAAGTTCAGGGGAGAGACACTTCTGAGCACATAAATCTGGACCCTCATCTGTCTTGAAGCTCTAGTGGTGGTCTCAAATAATCTCAGAAAGTAGTCGACTGGACCAACCCCTGGAGCCCCAGGATCTTTAAAAAGTGCGGTAATCTGGGTCTGTATCTCTGGCTCGTTGCTGCTCTGAAAGCCAAGAGCTTTGCTGACTTCAAGGGAATCAAATCATAATGGCAGCCGCGCTCGGTTCTTGCTCGCATCTATCCAATTATGCTTTCAAATGGGGGAGAATATTGCGAGGATACAATTATAGGTTTGTCACTGCTCAAGTTTTATGTCTAAACTGCCTCGGTGCTGCTGCAATAAAAGGGCATCAGCCTAAGCAGTGGTACGTGCAGCCCTGTCATGACAAAATAAGCACCTGCAATAATTGCATCCAGCCCTCATTTACTGTGGAATTACAGTACATGAAAGAAAATCACATGAATCAATAAAAGGCTTAAACCGCTTGCCTCCAACTATTTGACAAGGAAATTCCCCCTTGGCAATGCACTGATGTCTCTCTGCCAGAGCATCCATTTGGGACTGTGAGATGCCTGCTCTCCTCACTCGGTTGCCTCCCCTTCCCCCCTCCCCGCCCATGAACAGGGCAACGGCATGCACAAAGGATGGGAATGCTGGCTGCTACCCTGCATGTGGAGAAGAGACCTGCTTACGGGACAAGAGGAATGCACCATGCACAGCTCAGCAATGCAGCAAGAGCATCCTTCTCCTTCCTTGTTCCTCAGTTTGCTGACAGCAGGTTAACATATGAGCTTGTCAGATGTGTATCTGTTTGGCAGGGGGAAACTAATAACCATTCTGGACTGTGCGTACAGACATTTTGCATGGCACTAAAATCACTCAGGGTGCTTTCTAGTTACAGATTCCCCATGCATTCAATGCTTCAGTGATACATGGTGTCATTTCCAGGAGATGCTTGTATAAAAGTCAGATTCTATCAACCCAGGAAAAGCTCTGGATTTAGTATTTCACTGTCCCATCAATGCACCAGCCTCTCTCTCACCCCGCACCTGTCCCATATATGTACCCGATAAAGCTGATGCAGCCAGTTCTACAATATTTATCACATGCCTGCTCCACAATTAATTGTGACTTTGGAAAAGGTTGCAATGGGAAGGGAGAAGAATGGTGCAATGTTCCAGCAGAGCTGGGCATGTGAATGTGGTGGTCTAATTCCAAGCTGACGTCAGCCACAGTTTGCCTGCTCTGGATATTAAAAAGGATGTAGGCTTTCTAACGCAAGCGATCAAACTTTCAAGCTGCATTTAAAATAAATTAGTACCCAGTCCCACAACCAAGGAGTGATCCAGGTGAAGAGTTCCTCCAGGCTTCGGTGTGAGTTGCAGGCATCATGCTGAACTGAATCCTGGAAGAAAATTGATTGGCACTGCCATTTGGATTGAATGCAGATGAAAAACAGACACCCTCCCCCCCCAACCCCTGCCCGCAGGGGAAAAGGGTATCAAGAAACCAAAGTGCCTATTTGGATCTTCTTGGACTTGTTTCTTCTTTTACACGTAAATATTTCAAGAGAGGATGCTCAGTTGCCAAAGAAAATGACAGATTTTAAAAAAAGAGGAAGTTTTGATCCTCAAGCTGCAGAAATGCTCCCGTAATTATGGGACCTGTGCACTGCGGCTTCCCAAAATGGGGAAGAACACCTTGAATGTAGCTCTAAATCATGCCTGCTGCTAATGGCCCCACAGAGACGGCAGTCAGGGATTGAGAGGGGGATGAGAAAGCCCTTGTCCTATCCCCTGTGCCATTGACCCCGGTGCATTGGCAGGAAGGTGGATTTGGCACCGGTTCTGCAGCACAACCAATCCCACTGTTGGGGGTGCAAAGCGTAGGGATCTTTGCTGGGAATGGGGTCCACTGGCCCCACTGCCTCTCCAGATCTGGGCTCATAAACCTGCGCGTGCCTACCTGAGGGCTCTGCAGACGATTGGAACTGAAAGGTATTTAACAAGCTCGTTCACCGTTCCCTCCTTACTGCTGATTTTTTTCGGGAACTTCCCTCAGCCGTGGCAAGCAAAATCAGATTGAGCTGTGCAGTCAATACCACTTTTGCTTTTTAGCAAGGATAATACAGCATTGGGCAGCGTGCGCTTCTATATAGCGCCATTCGGCGGAGGATCTCAACATGCTGTAACATGATTCGTGGATTCAGCTCGTATGGAAGGCATTCATGCACCAGTTTTAACATACGGTGAAAATTAGGGAAGGGCAGGTGAAGTCATTTGGCCAACATTGCATAATGACTCTGAGGAAGAGCTGGGAACTGAAACCAGGAGTCCTGATTCCCAGTTCCCTTCTCTACCAGAACACCCTTCCCACATGGAAAAATCCACATTGTTCCATGATTAAAATGAAACACCACTATATCTATATCTGTATATACTTCATTTAAATAGTTCACTGTGTTATATTTCATTGTGTAATACTTCCGTGCTTCATTTAAATCATGGAACAAAGTAGATTTGGGGTTAGTTTTTTTTTTTTAACCAAAAATTGGGGATTTTTTTAAATCAGAGAAAAGCAGGATTCCTGCTTATAACTAAATGATACACAAGGGAATGGCAAATAATAATAATAAAAAAAAACCACTGCAATCAGATTGCTTCAATCTCTTGGCTCCTTTTCTATTTCTTTACCAAAACTAAACAGGGTGCCTACTGCATTCTGATAGAGTCCTTCTTGAAGCCAACACCACAGATGGGGTTGTTAAATGTAATCACAATCGCTGCCAAAGATGACAATGGGGGAGACCAAGAAGAGAATTACAATAAGAAATGAGTGTTTCTTGGGCACTGAAAAGTAAGATCTGGGGCTTGGGAGGGGAAAAATCATTCTCACTTGTGGCATTTTGGACTGGTGGGAAGATTCACTCAGGGACTGGGGAATCCCAGCATGTAAAATAAAACAGCTAAAGTCAGTCTTGCCCAGCAAGCCTTTCCACGATGCATGCACTTAGCCTGGGGGGGGGCACGGGACAGGCATAATGTTGGAGGTCCGGCTGCACACCTGTAGAGGGGCTGCCTACATTGCTCTCCTGCCTTTGGGATGCCCCTACCCATCCCCATGGGGGTGGCTGGGGAGCGAGGGGGCCGTTAGCTCTGCCCTCTCGCCTAGTAGAAAGGAAGCAGTACCAGGAAAAAGAATCCAGATTAAAAACACCCCCCGCCCCCCGCCGCCCTCAAAACAAACCCCATCCAATCTGGAAGTCCCCTAAGATGCACCTAGGGACCAGGAGTTTCAAGAGCTCAGAACCAAAACTCAAAGCTAGGCTGGTCCTTGCAAGCTGAGTGCTGGGCTCTGTGTAGTGGGAGCTCAGCACTTGCAAATCTGGCCCTAACAAATTTGGCTACGGCTGTGGTTTGGAAGCCGGAGCCTCTTTCAGCATTTCATTGCTTTCGCTCTCTGCGATCAAGTGGAGAGCAGGTTTGATTGCTTTCCACCTCTTAAAATTGCAGTTATTAAATCAGGATGACTATTAATCAAGGGTGACTTCGAAACAAAGGCAAGTGGGAGCATAGCTCCTGCGATAGCAGGCTTCATCAGCCGGCAGCGTTATGTCCTGGCTTCCCGGTTCTTTTTTTTTTCTCAACGTGCAAATGAGTTTTGACTCTTGAGGGGGTGTATGTGTGTGTCCGCATCCGTGTTTGTGTGTGTCCATGTGCGTCCATGTGTGCGCGTGCATGTGTGTTGTGGAGCCAGGAGATTTATGTGCCTGATCTGGGCGTGGAATAGAGGCCATGCTTGGAGCAGACCTGGGAAGTGATGGATTTCCGTGCGTGCTACTTCTTCTTGGTTCAGGACTAGGCATTGTGTAAGTAAAGGCAAGTGATGTTTTGAGCACGCCCAAACCCTACTGCACTGATTCATCCTCTATTAGGAAAAACAAGCCACGAAAGCCCTGGGAATCCATGACCACTCAAGCAAAGGCAGCATTGGCCGCGTCAGAACAGCCGGCGAGTAGCATCTCTTTACTTATTACGCAGGCTTCAAAACCCCGTCTGCCCTGCCGGGTGAATTCCATCAAATCACGCAGAGCACCTGCAGGTACCAAAACAATGAGGTCCTTTCCTTCACAACTAGTGGCATTTTAAAAATGTCTGTGATCACAGAACTAGAAGTGCATCCATTCCCCTGAGGAAGAGCAACAAAGCTTCCCCTTCTTTCCCTTGCAGAGCTGTTTGCTAAGCAGGGCTCCAGTCGAGGTAGTATGTAAACAGAGCGGTCCCACGCCTCCCCCCGGTCTAATCCTTGCAGACAGACTCATTCTTCTGGGTTTTGCTGCCATTCACAAGGCAGGCTGAAATGCTTTCCCAACTGTGTCTGACCTATCAGGCCAAATCCACTATCGGAATAAGACGCAGCCAAGCACCCTTGGGGGTCTTAGCGCCTTTGCTCTGGGGACGGTCTTTGCCATGCTGTTTAAATTAAACAGCAACCTACAGGCCACCAAATGCGTAGGGAGCAGAAAAAAAAAAGAGGAGTGGGAGGGGGAAATCCCCATCACCAAACATATCCTCAGGATGGGGGCCACTTTTTACTCCCGGTGCACTGTTTCAAACAAAACGCCTCTCTGCTTAGTAAACAGGGAAACAGCAGCCAAGGCCCCCGCTCCTCCTGGATGCAGTTGCTGCTGAACTCATCTAGTGCAATAATAAACATTATAGATGCAAATGGTCCATTCAGCTTTTCCACGCGACACGGGGAGGGGAGGAGGAATATAAAAAGCTGGGCTGCATCTAGCGATGCAATTGTGCCTTCCATTGTGAAGGGAAATCAAAAGCCTCCCCCACTCTTGCTTTTGCGTCTGCTCAGACAGGAAGATGACGGGGGAGGGCAAAGAAAAAAAAAAAGCAGGCTTTTAGGATTTCATTTACATTTTAAAACTTGCTGGAAATTAAAGCTAAATGAGGCTTGAAATCTGTGATCTCAGGAAGCTGGAGAAGCTGGGCGTAGTGGATCCAATGCGGCTGGAGCGCCACGAAACACGCTAAGTCCTGAGGAGTTCCAGCACCTGCTGATACTTTTGCTTGGACGATTGCACCCCGTTTTGTCCCTTTGGGGACCAATTTTGTGTCCCCCCTCCTCAATCATTCTTCACCTCTTTTTCTCCTGAATTTCCAAGTAGCTGGAAAGCCCTGAAGAGTCACAAGCGAGTCAGTCCTGAGGCTGCTGCGACCCTTGGGGCACCTTAGATGCTGTAACAAAGCAGGGAAATAAAAGGCTCCTTTTCACCAGGGAGATCTGGAGCCAGGTCTGCCACACCTCTCTTTCAGAAAGTTGCACTGCAGCAAAGCCTGTGCCGCAGGTGCCTCGATTTCAAAGCAAAGCGCACATTAGAACTGCTTCATCCTGCGTGGAATGGGGAAGCAACGCCTTCCTTTTCCCCTCCTTCCTTTTCCCCTCCCATCTCTTTGGACTGTCAGCTGCATTGGGCTCTCACTACACATGTGTGTGTAATGCCCGGCCCAGCAATCTCAGCTGGGACCTCGAGGTGATCCTGGAGTATATGCACGCTCTGGCAGCAGCAGTGCAAAGCTCCTCTGCAGCACAGCTCTGGCAGAGCACTAGCAGAGCCTTGCTGTGCACAAGGGGCAGAGTGGTTTGAGCCATGCCCCCATCACTCAGCTGCATTAACAAGGAGGCCAACTAATGCACAAGGGCTTTCTGCGCAGCAGACCCAGGTCCAATCAAGACTGTCCTGGGACTCCTCCATGCTTATTTTTGCATAGCAGCTAATTTGAAGGTAACAATTTCCCCTTGCTCCCCAGGCAGGATGGAACTGATGACCCTTAAGCCGCGGCAGGATTGATTATGCTTTCTGTGCCCGGCTAGCAGGTAAGTGCCACGAGTCAGGGGGAGAGAGGCACTGAATGGCTGTGTTGCCGTGCTGGAGCTTTCTCTGGTCTGACACTGAATGGGGCTCCCAGGGAGACTTCCATTCACTCAAATTGAGTAATGCAGAAATACTGAAGGGGAGATGCAATTTAGCAGGTTTTTAAACATGATTGGTCCTGATTTGGGGCTATGAAACATACTAATCATTCTGATTCATACCACGCCTCTGAGACCTTTAATCACTAGTATTTTTGGTGGGTTTTTTTTTTTTAAACACAGAAAGAAATATGGAACTTGGGGGTTGGAGCAGGCAACCGCCTGTAAAGCCCTGTCTGGTTGAACTGAGGCCTGGATGTGGATAAGTGGAAAAGTGGGCAGACATATGGATAAGGCTTGGGTAGGAAGCAGAGAAAGGGAGCGCATCTATACAAGATGATTTACTGCGGAGCTGACTAATTAGTTCCATAATAAAGCGTCACTGTCTACATGTGAGATGCTATTAGGCTGAACTAAACTAATTAACTCTGCTATAGGATAGTGCTGCCTGACACAAGTACTATCCTACAGTGGAGTTATTTAATGCACCGCAGCCTATGTGTAGATGCATGAATGCTGTGTGCCCCCGGAGGCTGGGGGGTGCACAGTGAGCTCCCGCAGGCAGCGGCAGCAGGGGATGGGGGTGTCAGCAGTGAGCTCCTGCAGATGGCTGCAGAAGTGTTGGCGGCGGTGGTGTGGGGGAGAGGTGGCAAGTGCTGACCAGTGGTCAGCGACCACCTGCAGACGCCACCAGCAGCAGCCCGCGGCTATCGGGGACTGCCTGCAGATGCCACTGGCAGCATCAGGAGTGCTTTGTGCAGGGGGTGCACCGCAAAGCTCAGGGGGTGCATGTGCACCTGCATGCACCCCCTATGCATCACCAATGTGTAGATGGCTATGGGGCTAGCTTGGGCATGATGGTGCTACAGTGTGGGAGCTGCCTGCTAGCTAGTCCCACACTGTAGCACCCTTATGCCCCAGCCAGCCCCCCACAGTACGCTGAGCCAGGCAGACACAGCTCCGGGCTGGCAGGCTGACCTCCTGGGCCCTCTGCCAGCTGGGACTGCGTTACCCCAGTTCAATGTGCTGCAGTGCCAGGCGCACGTATAAACACTGTGCCTGGGAACAAGAAACTCTGGCACAAATTGCACTGAACTTTAGTGCTTTGCATTAAAAGCACATGTAGACACATTCAGGGCTGGTGGTTCAAGTCCTGGGTTCAAATCCTGACTCATGTCTTAAGTGACAGTGAGCCAATGGCCTCAGTCTCAGTGACCCTGTGTCTCACCCCCAAAGTCAGATCTGCAATAGCACGGGGGTGGGACATGGGTGGAAATGCGGGTCAGGATTGATGAGCCCTGGCAGAGCTGCATGTGGGAAGCCAAGCCTGTGACAGTCTAGGGTTTGATTAGCTGGGCTTGCTGCAGTTCTGGACTGTGATTCACTGGCACTAGGAATCTGGGGCTAGAGGAGATGACTATTTTTGGTGTCAGGATTAAGATCTGGAAAAAAGAAAGTGTGTGCATTGATTGCATAACACCTGCCCAAGCTCTACCAGTGCTATTAGCTCAGCCCCATCATCTGTCCTGAATTCACTCACTACAGCTAAACAACGCTATAAATACCTCTGCCAGAAAGTTGAATCCAACACTCAGAGAGTACAGGCCTAAGAATACCTTGTCAAGCACACATCTTGCTATGAATACAAATGACAGAGACACAGCACACTACTCATTGTAATTTGCTTTCCTATGCCGGCTGGCGGGCACCTAACATTAAGCAGCTATGTTATAGGCATGATGTTACTAGTATTCATAAAGCTGTGTTTAAAAAAAAAAAACCCTGCTGCTTAAATCGATTTTCCAGTAACTTTTTTATCTAACGGGTTATTTATCCTGGGATTCACACACACAGCCCCACCCCATCCTCTCCACCAAAGAAGAAAAAAAAGCCCATATAAACACAGAAAAGAAAAAACAAAACAAAACCTTGAGACCCCCAGTGTATTAATAAATGAAATGCAATGCCTTTCCAATCAAGGGCTGCATCAATTCAAAATAAATTTCCAGTTCATTTGCAAACTCTCACCATCTCTGAGCTTGCAAATCAGCTTAAGAGAGACATTCACTCAGGCCTCCTCATTTTGTCCCTGGGTTTTTTTTCTTTCCGATTGATTTTTAAATACTTCTGTAATAGTGACCATCAACAGAGCAGCTCAGAGGTAGATGGCTTGGGGTTTATTAGGCTGCATTTGGGGGGAGTGCTCCCTATTTCTTCAAATAACAAGTGTCTGTGTGTGTGTGTTAATTGTTTTATTAGGGTTTTTTTTTAAATTTGTATCGTGCCGCTTAATGTAAGTCGCTCTTGAGATGACTAGCTCTGGGTGGAACAAAAGTCCCAGGCAATGGATATGGCTCTCTGTGTTGAACCATCTCCCCTAAATGATTAATCAGTCCATGACACTGGATTTGGAGAAGCAAACGTCAGAAGGGATCATTACAACAGACTGGTCTGACCTTGGCAGGACACAGCCTGGAAAAATTTAATCCAGAGATTCCTATTTCAAGCTCAGTAATTTGTGAGGTATGAATGCTGCAGATGAACAACCCTGAGGATCAGTGCCTTCAGACCAGAGGACTCTCTCTAGCTCAGGGGTGGGCAAAATGCAGCCCGGGGGCCGGATGCGGCTCACCAGGCCACTCTATCCGGCCTGCAGGGCCCCTAAAAATTTTTGAAAATTAATATTTAGCTGCCCCTGGCTGCCTGTCATGCAGCCCTCGAGGGCTTGCCAAAACTCAGTAAGTGGCCCTCCGCCCAAAATAATCACCTGCCCCTGCAGCTCATGCCTGAGCCCAGATGTTCAAATGAATCTGAGCATCGTGGGTCTCCCATGACACCCTCCGAGGGCACGTAGCCTGCAGATCTGCCGCTGGGTATGGAAGAGAGTCGCTTCCCTTCTGCAACCTGCTCCCTCTTTTCCACTGGGAAGTTGTCCTTTGGGATGCATCCTCCAAGCCCTCTCAAGGCGTGCAATTATGAACCACTGTTCTCCTCCCATCCCCACCATTTGCAGGGGAAACCCTGGATCTGGCTTATGAAACAGGTGCTTTTTGCAGCGTCACACTGGCCTCGCTCAGTAGACTGAGGAGGAGGTCAGCTTTGCCCCCACCTGCACGGCTAGGGGAACAGATGGTGTTTGTAAGACCCCTGCCCTTTCCGCACGGCAAGGCTGGGCACAGCATTGCTCTGATTACACTCGATGGGCGCCTGGAAAGGAGACGAGCGATACCTTCACATTCTGGCTGGGTGCCACTCCAGGAGCCGTTGGCTTGACAGATCCTCTCCGAGGAGCCCCGTAGCAAATAGCCCGGCTCACAGCTGAATCGAACCATGCTATCCACGCCAAATTCATCCCCCAGTCCGATGCCATGGGATGGGATCCCTGGGTCACCACACACTCCCTGGCTGCCTCCTAATGAAGAGAGAAGAAAAAACGCCATCAGCCACCGAGTTGTGGGTAGAAGTACAGGCCTTGGTCCTGGCCACTCTGCCCTCGTCCCCTGACAGAGAGAAGTCCTAAATCCTGTAGAAGCAACTGCCATGGAGTTACCAGTCCATGAGTACTTCATCACCTTAACCCATTTATCTGCTGCAAGTAGAGCATCAGGTCTCCAGGTGGCAATGGACCATCCGGTAGCCCGAGGCACCTAGCAGCACCCATGGACTTGATTTGGGAAGAGGGAAAGCCACCTACTAACTCATCTACCTCCATTCCCTGCCAGCTTTGGGCTAGATGTTTACTAGTGTTTTGCCCAGTCTATTATCTTTTGATACTCCTACATGACAGCCCACATTAGCTTATAGCCTGTTGGTTTCTCCCTTATATCCAGTTTTAATATTCCCCTCTCAGTTTTATTTTTCTGCTCGTAGGGATTCCCTCAGGTACCATGCAGCAGAACAACAGACTTGCAGTGAGCATCAAGATCCCCACCTCTGCCCTCCCTGCTCCCCAAATGGTGCCAGGGCTCTCAACCGGGAACTAGTCTCACGCATGTCAGCTAAGCTACCTTGCAGCCCTGACAATGCCTATGTAGTTGCAGGTCTCTCTCTACGGAAAGGTTGTTGCATTGCACCCATCACCACAGTATGTAGGGAGAAAATTCCCCCATCCTTGAGATCTGTACCATGCACCTCTTAGTTGAGCACAATGATTCTCAGCCAGGATGCCAAGGCACCCTGGGGTGCTGTGAGCTCCTTTGAAAGGTCCTACAAGGTGCGAGGAGATAAGGGAGGTGTGAGGAGATAAGTGCATGCTCAGGCTCTTCCCTCTACAAGAATATACGTTGTAATAAAAAAAATTAGTTATTGAATCAGATGCTGCTCAATTGTCAACAATTCTGGACTCAATTCCTTGAGTCTATAAAAAAGGCTGAACATCTTGGATCTAGCACACTTGCTGGTCTTCTGCATGGACTATGTGTATGTGTGTGCACACAGAAGTGCAAGTGTATGCACATGCCTGCAGAAATGTTGACCTGGGTACTTTGTGCCTTTGGGAGCCCATTGCTTTTTAAGCATATGCAAAATCTGGTCCAGTTATTCCAGAACATCGAGATGGAGTCCTAGCCAGATGCAGACACTCTCTGCAGCAGCTGTTCAGGCAGCAAGGGGTTTGTTCGGCGGCATCGGTCATGTGGGTGGCTCCTCTCCATGCCGAAATGCAAGGTTCAGAGCCACCTCCGCAAGCCCTATCATTCTTGCCGAGCAAGGAGCTGCTGGCTTTGCGGCACAGGAGCGCAAGGGATCCAGCTGAGAAACATCCGCTGGTACAAGTTGTGAACCCTCGTCACTGTTGGCTGAAAGTCTGGGGGGACCCGAGGAGGGAGACAGCTGAAAAGGATGCCTCCCAGGGGCTCTTTGAGAGCATGCTGGAGTGCTGCCTGCTCCATCCTGCTCAAGCTGAGCCTGCCTGTTCTTGGCTTTCTCTGCTAATGATCTCTGAAAATGCATCAGCCCCAAGCCAAGGAAGAGCATTTCAGCTCCTGCAGTTATCACTGAAGCCCCTGGCTCCTGAGCCGCCTGCCTTTCCCTGCAGTTACAGGCTGCACAGTATTATGCCTGATACAGAAAATAATGAAGACATTTGCCTTCTAGGGAAAGGCTTATTTTGAAAGGAGGGCAGGGGGAGAATCTGGGCTCCCTGGTTGCCTTCAGCGGTGACTTACTTCAAAGTGGTTCGTTCTGATTTACGAAAGCTGCAGTCACAATTAACAGACTCCCTGCATGTGGTAGAAAAGCTGTTTCGGAAGCATTTGGGGTTGAATTCTGGCATCACCCCCAGCTGCAAAGAGGCTATGATAGCACTGACGGGGAATCTCTCCAGCAGACACTGGCACTCTATGGCATCCTCTAATTTCGGTCCAAGCTCCAGGGTGTGCCAGGCACAGCAAAGCATCATACTGCGCAGGAGAATCACCATTATAAGTCTCAGTTTGCCTTTCTGATCATGAGAGCACAGGCACAAGGAAAGGGCCCGATGTTTGCACCTTGTGTTCTCGACCCACCCTGCAAGGAGAATGGCAGTAACAGTAAGTGCACGCCTGGGCGGCTGGGCGATGTTTGACTCATGTCGTGCTGCCCCGACTGGCTCCGAATCTAAGCACAGAGGAAAGGACTCTCAGAAGTGATGGGCTAGCTTTGTTTCCTCTGAAACCAGTAGCAGGCTCCCACCTCTTTGTCTTCAATGGACAGGCTCAGTTCAGTGATGAGCATTTCTGAAAACCCAAGCAAAGTTTCAAGGAAAAAAGAAGGTGGGGGGAAAACATGACCCCGAGAAGAAACCTTTCCAAGTGGCTATGAAAAATGGTTTGGTGGGCATGTCTTCCATGGCTAATGATGTCTCCTCTATGTATTGTCTCCCCTTTAAGATGCAGTCTACATTTGGTCAAGCCGATCTGCTACATCTAAAAGAGGCAGAATTAAACAGTAAGCCTTCACCTCTCTCTCGATTCCTGTTCCACCTGCATCTGGCTTTCAAGGGTGCCCAGAAGGGAACAGGCTTGTTACTGAGCTCTTCAAGTTTCTCAGCACCTTCAGCTCCACCAGTGGATCCGTTGCTTCCAAAAGTTAGGAGACTTTGATACGGATCCGGAACAAGACTGGCAAGGAAGATTCCCACCTCTGTTCCCCTACCCCTGTGCACCTCCTTGTGTGTCGTGCTTGCTTATTAGGACATTTCACAGTCTGGATTGAAAAAACCCTGGTCCAGATTTGCTGAAAAGGTTGGTTCCCATGCAGACTAAGCAATGCCATCCAATTTCGGAAAAAAAACAAACCAACCCGTCCGCCCAGGAATACCATGCTGGAACCTGCTGGCTACTGAGGGTCTCTGTAAATCCATCTCCCATTTTGGGGACCAGAAGAAGAGCTGAGATGTTACGGGACAGCTGGCGTCTATTATGGACACCGAGCCTTGGCAGATCCATTTTGCAGGCTCGCATCTGCCCAGGCCAGATGCAGGACAACCCTGTATAAGCACAATGTCAAAAGTGATGAACAGCACAGCAGAGTTGCATCCTGCATTAATGAGAGAGCCTCTGCATGGTGCCACCTGGCAGGTGGCAGCCCCTCCAAGGGAGCTGTGCCAGGAAGGCTTATTTGAATTCATGAGAAAGCCAGCGAGAACCTGGGGTTATAAGGCGAGGAGCTATTTGTGAGTACGTCTCCTCCCCCCAGCTACAGCCTCCTGCATGGAAGCACAGTAGGAGCCATTAAACAGTAAATAGTACTCCGCAGTGTTGATTCTCCCTGGGTATTTCTTACATTTAGAACATCCTTTGTACTGATTTATTCCGCCTGTGCTGCAGGGGAAAGTTTACTCTTTAATGGCACTCTCCATCCAAGGTGCAGGAGCCTGGAGAGATGAGCTGAGAGTTCGGCATGATCCAGAACTGTCCTATTTGAAAGGCCTCTTGGCTTCTCTTAACCAGCTCAGCTAAAAAAAAACCTGGAATGAAAGTGTTTCTGAGCAATCCCTTATGGATGTGCAAGGGAGTAGAGGGTCATCGAGCCCAACCCGTCCCATATCTTCCCACCCTCTCACCTGAGCAGTGAGGAAGAGAGCCGCTCCAGCGCCCATCCAGCTGGCACATACGGGTCGAGTTGCCAGTCAGAATCCGCTTCCCCAGGCAGCTGTAACGGACCACGGAGCCGACCGTGTGCTTATCCCCCGAGATCTGGGCATGGGGTGGGGACCCGGGGTGGCCACAGGAGACCACTGAAATGAAGAGACAGGCATTATGGCTTTGGTCATTATCAAACTGTCTGAGACAGGTGTTCAGAGGAAGATACAGGGGGCTCGGGGTACAGAGGAAACACCACCTACTTGCACCCCCAGAAGGGAACTTGCATGTACAGACTTATGAGCCAGGACCCTCAGCTGGTATAAATGGGTTTCACTCCACTGAATCAACAGATCTTCATTGCTTTATATCAACCAAGGCCTGGTCCCATGTGATCTGAGCATGGCTAGACCCTTACACGCTCAAAATAGCTCTTTCCTAGTGCTTGACTCCGGTACACGAGAGCAAATGTCTCCCGCAAGCAGTTCCACTGATTTCAGTGGGGCTAACCATATAAAAATGGGCAGAGCGTCTGGGCCAGCGTCATGCAAGCAAATGCCCAGCACGCAGCAACAGCGAGACACTTCCCACGTTCCTTCCAAAATTCATCCCTTGCAAACAGTGAGTATTTACACGCACAAACACATGCGTGCACGCATGCACATCTCCCCTGGCGGCGCAGGATTCTGCCAGCACATGCCTGTATTAGATGTAATGTCACACCTGATGAAATTCATCTGGCAGCTTCTGAGCGCTGCTCACCCTAAGACTGCTAGTAAAAACACCGTTAACAATAATTAATTGGTTTATTTTAGCTTTGCAATCAGAGTGGATGCAGCTTGGCTGTTGACAAACAAGTTGACAGCTCTAATGGCTATTAAATATGATCTGATCGGAATGATTCTCAATGCCAAGGCCATATGCCATTATAATTCCTGAAGGGAAATATCAGCTGCGGACCCATTCTTGCCTTTACTAGGTTCTAAAAATACAAATAACGACATTAGGTGGAATGCATGATGTATTCTTCAATAAAAGAGAAGAGCGCGCCAATGTTTGCGTATGTGGGCGTTGAAAGATACTGCCAGGGAGCTGCGACTACAACCAAGGACATTTTCAAAAGAAATGGGTTTGATAGCTGATGCTTAAACGCAAAATGTAACTAACAATTTAATAACTGATATTCCAGCAGATACACTTCAGCTCAAAATCCGCGGTGATACTGCAGCGTTTCAAGGATTCAGTAGAGGTTTTGCAGAACTTCCCTTTGATGTGCTCAACTTTGCTCTTGTGCACCTTATTTATCACATCAGCTCTCCCACCCCTTAAGGAACCACAGCTCTTTTTAATTCCTCTTCTCAAATACTCCCTGGCTAAAAATTCCCAAGCCAGAATGGCCTACATTTTACAGAGGGACTAAATAATGTGTGCGCCCACTTTGAGACTTCTTAAAAGGCGGCCGACTTTCAGCAAGTCCCAAGCACTCCTCCTCTAAAAATCAGGCCCCATTAAGGCACCTCAAATTCGGCACCCCAAAATTAAGGCATCAGTTAGTTATTCTGACAAGAATCAAGCTCATAAATCCAGTCAGCCACCTATGAAAACTGGCCTGATTTTCAGAAGATGGTGAAAATACTTAGACACGCCTCTGAAGTTAATGGAAGTTAATGGAAGCTGTTCAAGACGCAACCTTTTTTTTAAAAATAGGTCTCATCGTTTTAGCTGCTGAACACTGGCTGGAAGGATTCTGACTTGAGGCACCTGAAAGGTTTTTAAATGGTAGCTCATTTGTTCAAGAGGTGCTAAGGTATGTGGTTATCACTTGCCAATTTTCCCTGGCTTGTGCGGGGTGCTGTGAATGCGCAATGGTGACATGCTGGGAACAGAGGAAAAGAGAAAAAACGTGCCAAAAACTAGTTGTTTGTGACTGGGTGTGGACAGGAAAATAAAGAAAGGAGGATTGAGGCTTAGGAACAGCAAGGTGGATTCAACGTGGAGGAGCGAGGGAGGGGATTCAAACTATCCTGCTCAGCTTCCGGCTGCTTGACATCTTTGTCACGCAATGTTCAACCTCTGAACAGCAGAGGTACCGGTTGCCCTGAGAGGAGATCCTAATTATTTTACTTTTTGTACGTGACACGGGGTTGAATCCTCATTCAATTCAATAGGTTTATAAATTTTAAACTTGAGGAGGAATGCAAACACAAAACCCAAGAAACGTGGCTTGTCTCTAATCAGTACATTTCCCTGCTGTGTTAGGCTCCCACCCAAAGGCCCCCATAGTAGCATCTCTTCCTTGAGATGTGCTGCTGTTTTCAAGGAAAATCTCTTGGGTATATGATAAGAGCTTAAACTGGAAGGTATTATCTAGCTGTGCAAGGAAGTGCATTTAAACAGGGGTTGTTTCTTGGGTTGCTTGAGCTGCTGGAATGACCAGGAAGCAGGGGGAGCAGTTCATGACACATTTTTCTATTTAATGCATTGATTTTCTATTTAATGCTTTGACTATTTGGGAGCTCCAAACTGGAGAGGATTAGGTATGTACAGCACTGATGACATTTTCTCAAAATCAAATCCAGCCTCTGCTGAAGTCAATGCGAAGACTCTGAGTTGAGTCTGGTGCCGAGCGCGCTATGGCTTTGGGGCTAAAACACCAAACTGGGATACAGGGCACCTGGTTTCTTGTTCTTGGCTGTGCCACTGGCCTGCTGGGTGACCATGGGCAAGTGGTCGCATCTTAGTGCCTCAGTTTCCCCATCTGTAAAACAGGGATAATGACACAGCCCTTGTTTGTAAAGCAGTATGAATATAATATTGCTACTACCAGTATATGACTGCATCCCAGCTGTCAGAAAAGCATGAATAATTTCTATCTATCAAGAGTTTCCTCCAGGGTCTCCAAGTGCTGAAGGGAGAAGAATGCTGTACGATGTGAAGTCTGCTGTTGCTATTATAAAATGTTTTCCTTAATTTGGGTTTTACTTTGTCAAGTTTACAAACATTAATCTTTGGAGTTACATAGACTTCACGGACCCGCTATACTTTTGAAGTGACAGCCGTGTGTGTGCGTGCGCTTCTGGGTGCTTATGCATGCCTGTGTGCATGTGCATACTATGCTGTGGGGTGCATGGTTGCAAAAGAGCTTTCTAATATCTGAGCTCTCTGTGTGTGTAGGGCAGAGCAATGGCACATCACAGAGCACATTACTAAGATGGGTGTTTTGATGAGTTGTAAGCAGCGCTGTTACCATCTCAGAACCACGCAGCTGAGAGTTTCTGTCTGTTAAATCAAATTGTTCCCTTAATCCAAGCCTTTGCAGAGAGCCTCAACTTGCTCCAGCATGCTCACGGTTACAAATGAACGTAACAAACTGAAAGGCAGAGAGCATCAAGGATGCTTTAAGGAGGAGGAAAAAGAAATATCTAAGGCAAGAGTCAAGAAGCGAGTCCTCTGTAACGTACATTTTGAAACAGAATAAAGGCGATGAGGTTGTGTTTATTCTGGTTCTGCACTGACATTTCCTTTCTCTGAAGACATGTAAGTGAGTGGGTGTGTGGGAAGTTCAGATGTGTGCGAGCAGTACTAAATCTGCTGTGTCCTTCGGCTGGCTAATTACATGCTGCTTTTCTATAAATTCCCTCTGTGGTATCTGCCGGAGAAGTGATGCTTCTCTTTTCCTCCTACGATATTGTTGCTGGAGCAGAATGGGGTCAGCAAAGCTCAAAAGGTGACTGCCTTTCATCAGTGGGTGAAACGATCCCTATGTAATCTAATCTCTCGCCAGACCATATATTTTCCCCTCGGTAGGCATGATCTGAAGCTCAGTGAAGTGGATGGAAAGACTGCCATTGACTTCAAAGGGCTTTAGCTCGAGTCTTATATATAAAGATACAGATATACTATCGCTCAGTTCACAAGCAACAGGAGTCCTCGAAGAGGAGAAGCTGCAGCAATGCTCGAAGCAAAGGGGTATTGCTCTGAACAACTTACAGAGACACTGAGGGAGGGGCCTGTCCCAAGTGCCATCCCCCTGACAGGTAAGTACATGTGTGCCCAATAAGTAATATCCATGGCTGCACTGATATGAGACAGTTGTTCCAAAGCTGAATCTGTGAGGCCCACTTGGCTGCACTTGACGGATGCTGTTTTCCAGGTGCCCGGGGTCAGTACAGTTTACAACTGCAAACAGATAACAGGAAAAAAAAAATACAGAACAAAGGGTGTAACAAATAACAAAGGACTCTCCAGAACGAGGGGCAGAAAGGGGGACAGCTCTCAAGTCACGCGTCCCACATTTGGTTTCTGCTTTCTTCCCTTCGTTCTTTTTTTTTAAACAAGCAAGCAAAAGAGTTGGACATTTAAGGGGATAATCCTCCAGGCCCAGATCCTGCCATGTGCTGTGCACACTCACTGCAGATTCGGGACCTCCACCGCCCCAGTTAGCACCCGGGTGCAAAGAGCAGCCTGTCCCACGGGTGTAGCAGTATTGGCAGAGATACCGGGCTGATGGACTACAGAGGAAGGGAGGTGCAGGGACAGGAGGGAGGGGGTCGGTGAAGTGAATTTTAATGCTGGCACTCAAGGAAAAGCTCTCAAAGTGGGGAGGGGGGTGAGGGATGTCAGAGATGCGAATGGGATGGATCTTCCCCTAGCCTGGGGAAAACTGGTGCAACCCCATGGACTTCAGCGGGACTGCCCTCATGGACACCAAACTTTATAGCTTTTTCCACCCCTCTCTTGTTTGCAATTCACAGTTCAATAGGTTGAAGGGTGGTGGAGACAAGGGAGTCCAAATCCCTTGGAAGCCAATATCTGCTCTGGGGTTAGTGGGCACAGGTCCCCCCCGGCCAGCAACAGCGGTGCGGGTGCCAATTTAAGCCCCTCTCATATGTTCCCATTCAGCTGCTAAAAGCTGTGTGTTAACTTGCTCCACTTCAGCTGGATGTTGGGAACCTGGAGCAAGCCGAGATGGCACCAGCAAAAATGAAGTCTCCTTTTTTTGGATGACTGTGTGTGGCATTTATACCATTTCATCAGCAATGCCCCCCCTACCAGCATTGCTCCCCCTCTGTGCATCCCAGGTCTGCTCCTCTGCCACCTCAATGATGCTGCAGCAGCTGCTAGCTTCACCAAGCAGGAAAAATGCAGCATGGTTGAAGCTGGTGAAGGCATTTTTGGGGGCTGGATAGTCCACCAGTGTTAACTGGTGGAGTTCTTCCGACGCCAAGATCCTGACACAGCGTTGGCATTGACGGAGCTGCACTGATTTACATCAGTGGAGGAACCGGCCCACTGTCCGGAGCTAGAGATCCAATGAGAAGAAAGGGCTACGCAGAGGACTGGCCTGTCCCTGAGGGTGGAGGTTACCATTCCCCAAACGCAGGAAGGGTGGGGGGATTAGTCCCTCATCTCTTTAGCCCCACATCTCCGTGGACCCTGGAGATCTACCACTCCATTCCCCTCCTAGCACCAACCCTCTTGGAAGAAACTGGGGCATCCAAGCCCTCCAGGCCAGGAGGTTAGATGAACATCTTGCTGGGGTCGTTTGACCCCAGTACTCTTTCCTGCCATGGCAGGGGGTCGGACTAGATGATCTGCTCAGGTCCCTTCCGACCCTAGAAACTATGAAACTATGGAACAAGTGTCTCGGGGGAGATGACTTA